AAAAAAAAAAAAAAAAAAAAAAAAAAAAAAAAAAAAAAAAAAAAAATGAGGGGAAATTTGGAAAATAAATATAATTATAATTTTATATATTAATTAAACTGTGAAAAGATATTTAAAAATAGAGACCTTAATGGAAACAAGAGAATGAAAACAAAGGTATAATTTTTTTTAAAAACAATATTAATATAATAATAATAATAATAATAATAATAATAATAATAAACTATTATATTTGTAAAGAGAATAAAGACAAAAAATTTGATGTGGGAAAATTATTATATATGGGGTGGTACCATTATGGTGACAACATTAATGATATTTAATTATTAGTGTCGAACTCTTTTCCTTATTTATTTGAATACAACAACAAACCTCTCTTAAACATCATTAGCTAAATAGGACACGAGACGAAGTATAACAATCCAAATTCATTGCTAACAGATATTATTCACTTTGACTCTCACAGTTTTAGAACGTGTCTGTTAGAGAGAGATTTTTATTCTTATAAAAATTTTGTTCCCCTCTCAAACCGATGTGAGATCTCATTAAGAGATTATATTTTCGATCTTATAAGGAATGAGATCTTAACCGATGTGTTCACACACTTATAAAGAATGCTTATATAGTATTAAAATTTAAGTACGAGGGAAATAATAATTGAATATATATATTGGTTTTTATTATTATAGTGAACTTGAACCTATTATTACCGGTAGAAATGGAAATGGAGATGGTGGAAAGGGAAAGATTACAAAAATTGAAATATTAACTAAAACAAATATATAATTATGATACAAAATTCAATAATAATAATTATTATTATTATTATTATATTTCGATCATAGAGAGGGCACACTCCAGATTCTTCGCTTTCAACCCGACATACTCCTTCACCACCACAGACCGGAACCGGGGAGATTCCGGTGGATTGTTAAACGGCGTCACGCAGAAATCCGGCGGCGGTCCAAAGAAATACGCCATAGACAGGCGGCGTCGGGTCGGGTCGACGACAACCCGGTGGAGGACATTCGGGAACCGCCCATTCGACAGGATGTGGAACAGGTCGCCGACGTTGAGGACTAGTGCACCGGCTACCGGCGTCACAGGTAGCCAGCCGAACCCGTCCCTGAAGATTTGGAGCCCGCACGTGCTGCTTTGGTGGAGGATTGTCAATAGAAAGGTGTCGGTATGTGGGGCCAGACCCATGACCCGGGTTGGATCCGGGCACCGGGGGTAGCAGTTTAATTGCAAGGCGGTGCTGCAGGCGGCAGCGGCTCCGGCGGAATGGAGCCAGTTCGAGATTTCGGCGTCGTCGGGGATTTTAAGGAAATTTAAGATTAAATGTGTGATTTTCTCAGCTAAGGACTTCATGTTCTTCTGGTACTCTTCCATTACATCGCTTCATTTGAATATTAATTAATAGAGTTAATAAGTGATTATTAAAAAAAAAATAATAATAAAAAGTGATTAAAATATCAATTATCATCGTATAATAATAATAATAAATTGTATAGATTATATTAAATTACTCGAAGAACAATCTTCAAATGCTTTGTGTCTAATCAATTTCTTAATTTTAAAAGTATTTATTAAAATTTTAAAATAATTAGATATCTAAATTTTTAATTTTCTTTTTTCGAACTTAATTAGACATTATTTTTTTTTAGCTTTAACGTTAGTCAGTAATTATGAATTTATTAAATACAAAATTAAATATTAAATTTTTTATCATTTATTAATTTTTTTTGTACGATTTTATAAAAATAAATTTGTAATATAACCAAAAAAAACAGTGTAATTATATTTCACATTTTTTATATTATATCTAAAGTAGATATATTTAGGATATATAAATTAATTCCAGCAGTTAAAATAGCAAAGAAAGAAAAGAAAAGAAAAGAAAATAAATAAATAGAAACGTGTATGAAAATGCATGAAGAAGTAGTTACCAGAACGGTTGGTAGTTAGAAGACCAAAGTTGAGAAGCATGTTCTGCGGAGGATCCCATAATAGTAAATCCCTCATGCCACATATACTTAGAGAAAAATGGCGTTATTCGAGGCAAGCCGTAGCCGGTGGCGTCGCCGGGAGCTCGAAGCGCCTTTAGTTTTCGTGTCATTGGAAGATCGAATAGTCGTCCCGCCTCAGCTTCAGCTCTCTCCACCAGACTCGTTGGCACGCCATGGTTGGTCAATTGGAACACTCCCCATGTCTTACATACATTACCAATGAGCATCGCTACATTAGGGTCAGACATATCGATCAAGGGAATCGAAACATCTCCATTAGTATGAAGTTTAAGGGTATCGTACGAAGAATGAGGCCAATCGTGAGAGTCAGGGACGGTTCGTAATGAATCGAAGTCCAAAGGGACGATATGGTGAAGGTGAATAAGAGGGTGGTCTCTATATGCTTGAGAGAGAGTGGTCATTATGTTGATGGATTGGCAAAGCAAAGAAATGGGTTTGTTTGTTTTAGAGTTTTGGAGCATTTGGGGGATTTTAAAACAAATTTAGAGGCAGAAAGAGATGAAGATTAGGTTAAAAATGGTGGCAATTTTGGACAAAGTGGTGTTTGTTTTTTTGGAAAATTGATATGAGGTTCAAGAAAGGGACAAAACAAGTTGTGGCAATCTCAATGCAAATCACTCAAAAAATTACTATTTATTTTCTTTTATTAAATTAATTATTATAATTATTACACTCGACCATCAGCTCAATACATTAAGGTATATATCTTCAATTGAGAGATTCTATGAGACCCCACGTCGGTTGAAGATGAGAACGAAGCATTATTTATAAGGGTGTGAGAATCTCTCCCTAGCAGAAAACTCGGAAGGGAAAGCCTAAAGAGGACAATATCTGCAAGTGATGGGCTTAGCTGTTACAGGTCAAAAGTTTGAATAACGTTAGGCATCTAACAACTATTTATTAAAACATTTGGATAACTCTAATTATATCATTAATTTCTTTTTAAAAAAAAACTAATAAATAGATTAAAGGATAAATTCAACCTTAAATTTTTCAAGTTTGTGTCTATTTAGTTTAACTCTAATCTTCAATTTTGGTCCACAAGATCCAAACAAGTCA